AGCTAAGAAAATGTTTATCTCCCTGAGCTTGGCCTTCATAATTCCATTCCATCACAATATGTGTGATTCTGCAAATGTCTTCTCCATGCTCCCACCCTGTTGCCCTCTCACATGCTCACCTAGTGAGCTGCCTTTTTGCACCCTAAAAAAACACACACCAGACGCTCAACCCTTCAGAGCAACAGAAGGTCCAGAAATGTTCTGAAACGTTGCCGCAGCAGCTCTGACGGTGCTGCTTTCCTTTGGATTCCTGCCCTGAGCTGGGAGGCTGGAATCGGAGCCCTCAACAGCCCCCTTCAGAGGCACCTGCAGAATCAGAGGCCTTCACCAAAAGGACAAAAGCGGGTTTATGCTGTCGCATCACAAGCACAGCCGCTTTCATAGGTGCCTGTAGCACCCTGATGCACCTTGAAAGGATTTTGGTTTCCATTTTGATGGCCCAGGGCTGCTTTTTCAATTTCCCCCTTGATCCCCCCCGTGGATGCCTCTGGCCCCAACTGTGTGACCCCACTGCCTTTTGACCATTTGAGGCTGGATTTCGCTGGCATTTTCAGTCTATCGAGTCATGATTTCCTATTGATTTAGCCTTCTCCAGGTAGATGGCAGCACCAAAACCTTGACCAATCTCAAAGGCCTAACCAGGGTTAAACTTGGTTAATGCTTGGGTGGGAGACGACTAGGAAATCCCAGGGCTGTAGGTTAGACCAAAATGGTTTAGAAGAAGACAGTGGCATACCACTTCTGTATCATTGACCCTAAAATTACCATAGACGCATTCATGAAGTCACCAAGAGTTACTTTAGGCTGGCCCCCATCAGATTGGTAATCCAGTATCAGCATTCAAAGAAGGCATGGTGACTTTGAGTCCTTTCCTTATGCATTATTGAATTTCTTTCTAGTTTTGAGCCTGCAGTCCCCTAAACGGAAAGGGGAGAGACTGACTGAACATGGAAGGACATCCAATCAACAAATCTCGCATGCATTTTAAATCCTAGGCTCATACATTTGCAAAATAATTCAGCTCCTTGGCCACCACTGCCTATTCTAATATTTAGATGCTCTTCATAGATGGCCAGACTGATACCTCCTACGCCATCTCCCAAACAGAAGAACATAAACATGGAAGAAGATCAGGCCAAGACCCATCTTCTTCCAGCCTTGTTTCTTACGTTGGCCAACCAAATGCCTCCAGGAGGCAGAAATAGATTGGTTTCCCAACCTTCTTCTTCTGCAACTGGTACTTGAAAGCCTCCTGAGACATCTTTAATGTACACCGTGCTCCCTAATTTATCCATTCCTCCTGGAAAGGCATCCCTTAGTGGCCATCCCCCCATCTTGTAGTTCCACAGGTGATGTACATGCTTTCTTATATCTCCTTGTTCTCTTCCTTTTTATGTATCCTTGTGGATTTGTCTCCAGATGAGGGACCTACGCCATGAAAATGTGAACCCGTTCCTAGGTCTTTTATCCGACACGGGTCTTTCTGCAGTTGTGATGGAATTCTGCTCCAGGGGAAGTCTAGAGGACTTGCTGCAAAACATTGACATAAAGTTAGACTGGATGTTTAAATCATCTCTTTTGATGGATTTAATTAAAGTAAGTCTCTTCCTTGTCTCTTACTTTGCTGTCACAAAAGAGGATTGAACGTCTCTTTCATCCAGATGCAAAATTTGGTGCTGTGTGTCCTGCAGATGAGATAGTGTTTCTCAACCTTGGGAACTTTAAGATGTGTAGACTTCAACTCCCAGAATTCCCCAGCCAGCAAGGCTGGCTGGGGAATTCTGGGAGTTGA